TTTTAATATAATTACCATTTATACATAATTATATATATTTAGAATAATATTAAGACAATAATATAACATCACAAAATCCAAAATTAAAATTCCATTTAATAAAATAGACAAAAATAACTATAAAATAAAAATATTAAAGAAAATAGAAATATTAAATATAAAACTAATTTTATTCAATAGATATTAAATATAATATTAATCAATATATTCCCCTATAAGTATTCCATATCCAATCCTTTTAATTTATATTCATATTAATTATTTATTCATTATTGCATTTTCTTCTCATTCAAACATATTATTCGATAATTTCCGTAATAATAATATATACATCAATTTTACCATAAAATACAATCATCAATATAAATTATTTAAATAATTCAAATTAAAATACATATTTCATATATAAATACAATATCACCATAAAATAATCAAATAATACTATAATTTATTTAAATATTTATTTAAATATAGATTCAACAACATAAACATTTATTTTACATATATTCAATATAACAAATAAAATCAACTAAATCACCAAATTAAAATAGAACTATTTATTAATTAATATATTTGTAATACAACGTGATTTTAAATCAATGATTAATTCAATCTTCAAATATATTAGATGTATTGAACATGAACAAAACAGTTCTATGTGTTTAATCTGTAATAAGTAGGATTGATGATTGTTAATTATTTTCTATATTAGGTATTGTAAACCTTCGTTGTGTGCGGTTATATATCTCAAAATTTGTGAATCTCCTATCGTTTTCCCGCGATTTGGAACCGTATGAAAGGCTAGCATTTTTTGTGAATCCGCTATCCCAGGGTTTGGAGCATGCCCGCATATGAATGCAACGTTCCTATGTAATCGTAGTAGTCGCATATTTTTTAGGCACTTTACATATGTATATGTCGTCTTCCCATGTCTTTCGTTTCAAAAAATGCAAAACTATATGTTCTTCCAAAAGTTATCAATTACGCCTTGAAACATCAGCTTCAGGGCGTGCACGAACAAATCAACATCAACGGGAAGAGTGTTAGGAAGATGGTAAGGAACGAAACAAGGGTTGACCTTGACGCCCTCACAGGTCAACAACCTGCGTCGGCGAAGCTCAAAGCCCTCATCAGTCTTCCCACGTCCTCGAATCCTGGTCGGGTGATGCAATCCACTCAGCGCCCCAGCTTTTTTCGGTGCTGCCGTTTTCGCCAACAGCGATCTACAGCCCTCCGCCCCCAAACAGATGATTCCCCTGCTTGATCTCTTTGGCGGTCTTTGACCCTATAGTGGTGAAGGAGCAAGACTTGGTGCGAAGGGCCCAGTCACCACGTTGGATCCGTTCGGTCTTTTCCCAGCTCCGCCGGCTGCGGGCCACCTACAACTCAGACTTCGCTTTGGCTTTCTTGTGGCTTCTCCTGGCACAACTCGCATGTGCTTTGACCTTCAAAAGGGCTGTTGATCGCTCAAGCGCATTCGAACGTACACACCGTAGCCAGTTCCAGCCTGGACTTTCGTGGAACTGCCTTGCAAGCGGAAGTGAGTAGCGAAGCTCAAAGCAGGTCGAGTGTGATTTCCAAAGACCCTATCGGTACTCCACACGAATCCCGCCCCTAAACATCTCTAAACAACCAAATACACTGAAGTGGAATCCACTGACAAAGCTGTCAAGGCCCAGCCAGCCTTGCTCCGCAAAGCCATTAGCCTCTCTTCCTTGGCGCCAAGCTTGGCCAATCCCTTTTGGGGATCACACGCGAGCCAGGCCTCAGGCCTCAAGCGGCCTAGGCCTGGTCACATCCCTGATGAGAAATCCACTTTGTTCCACCGAGTTCCATTGAATTCAATGGCAAAACTATGAATGCATACTACCCGACCAATCGGTTACACGTTCAAGACGGGCGATGCTGGGTGGGAAACCGGTACATTGATACATGTTTCCAGCCACACCTCCGCGATGGTCGCTCTCTGCCGACATGCCCAAACAACATTAAACATGGTGACAAAGCCTTCCAGCCGAACATGTGGAACGGACTGCCCAACTATTCACAAAAACACCATAACTCCCCCAAGCATCCAAGAACTTGTGGGCTGAATAGTGGTGCACACCGAAGCACCGTCCTGGTTTCCCGGGCCTGGGCAAAACTCAAGCAGCCGAGATGCGAAGTCCTTCTTTCGCTGTGTGTCCGGCCGATCACCCTGTGGGCATGGACGAACGCATTCGACGAGTAGTTCAAAGGCACAGTTCTTCTGCACTTCTGGCCCAGAAATCTCAAGATGGAGGTTTCAAATGACCAAGAATGCATGTGAACATGCAGCTAAGCAAAGGATATCAAAACATATATCGGTGGAACAGATCTCATCTGCAGAAAGCGTGACATGAGGCCCATTCCCACATCGCCCATCACCCATCACTCGGGATGTGACGAGCCGGGCGACCTCTACAGGCCGCTCCCTGCCTCTGGTGACGCTGAATTCTTCTCCTCTCCAACGGCGAAGCCGGTGCAATCCGGTGCGACTCAACTGGAATGCTGTGAGGGCCCAGGCCGTTTGGATTGCCATTTGGTTCGCAGCCCATCCCAGGAAACCGTCACGAAGGGGACACCAGCGACGAAGCAGGAATGCTTGAAGCGCACCACAAACTATAAACGATCGATGGCCTATGGTCGATTCCGCTGATTTCGAGCGATGTAACTAACTCGAAAAGTCATGTGCGCTTGCAGAGTGGCCATTTGTCAAATTCTGCCCTCAAGTCAATGACTAGACTAGATGAGATCAACTGCCCTTTGCTGAGCAAAAAGGACGCTTGAGGATGCCTGAAGAGATTCTTGGTCGACATGGAAGACACATACAGTCCCACGCACACATTCATGCGTGAGAAACTCTGGAACATCCTGCAGTGGACATCTATAAATACCTCTCCCAGCCAGCCTCTGGATGCAATTTGGAATAGAAATATGCCTCCGTGTGCGTCAATGCATGAACATACTCACGAACATCTTCCATGGCAATGTGTGAGCCAAAGCCAGAAAAAACTTTCTTCGTTAGGATTGCTGTGGTGTGATGCTGCCACATCTTCACTTAATGATGCTGCTTATCTATATAGATAGCCGCGCATACATAACTGTGCCATGTCCGGATGTGCCCCTGCAAATGTCCAAACAGTTTGACCATGTTTGACCTCTTTTCCTATTCTGCTGCGCTTCGAAACGCCAAGAAGCCGTTGATTCAACACCGAGCAAACCCGTCGTTGATCGGAGAGCTCGAGTGAAACGACACGGCGGGCGATGCGCTGAAGATCAGGCGATGCCTCTCTCCATTGCAGCATCTGGGAGTAACATTCGTCTGGATAGACTCGCATCACATCCTGCGCCGAAGGGCAAAGGATGTGTGTGCGGCTGAACATGCGGCTGACGTTCCAGTATCCTTTCCTGAATCAATGGGAAGTCTAAGCCTAGGGAGCTGTACAGATTTCAGCTACTGTCTGGCAAACACTGTAGATCCTTCCCACAAGAAAACTACTTGTACAACATATTCTGAAGGAATCGACAGCCTTCTTCATCCTTCTTCTACGTTCATGTGAGCGACTGTTGCTTTGTTTTGTCAAGATCTGAGCGCGAGGTCCTTCTTGATGTATGGCTGCGTCCTGGGTGTGCAAAATGTGGAACAATGTAACACGTTGTCGTCTGTGTCGTCTGCTTGGATGTTGTCAACCTCAACACATCGCGAAATATCTACTGCAGCTCCGGGCCATAGCAATAGTCAGCTTCTTGAACAGTCTTTGCTGTAGTTATTGCGAAGCAATCAGTCTGTTTCAAACCTCCATCTTCTCCCAAAGCAGCCTCCAACCGCTGCCCCCCCCAAAAAAGACCACTTGAGCACAACAAAACACCAATTGGTGTTTCCTCATGTTCAGGAACGCCATCCTCACAGATCCCTGAAGCAGGTTCATTGGTCCGACAATCAGTATCCCGGTCGTTCCATCCATTTTCGCTCTAGACTCTAGAACCAGGACACTCCCATTCTTGTGCCATCCCCGATCGGGCTTGGGTTAGGCAACTAGAAGCAATTAAAGACAACTAGGAGGATAAAGCATCTACGATTCACATCTAATGTAGAGATTAACAAACCCACCCCATTTGAATTGAACATCCTCTTTACAAGGGGGATCTTATTCATCAAGAGTCTACATCTAATGGTGATTCACATCTTTCAACTCGCAGCAGCTTCTTGGAGCAGCTGGTCCGAGCAGCTTCTTGGAGCGCGTGAGGCGTCTCCAGCAGGGCTCCGTGTGGAGCTTGGGAAGGTCGAAGGCGATGGCCTGGAGGGTTGGATCCAAGACCGCCCTGAGCTGTTTGAGACAATCCATACGATGGTTCACCAAAGGTTTTGCTTGGGGAAACTGGTCCTAAGCTCCTGGACGTTCTTTTTGGTTGGGGAGCTTGAACAAACTGAAACTAGACAGTCAGCTGGGAGAATGCCCCTTTGCACCTACCATGACTGGACATGTGTATCCTGCATACTACTTTCATCATATCTACTTTCTGGAAGCCCTCGGCCCCAGTTCAGATGTTCCGTCAACGCCGAGGTCAGAAAGCAGGCCGCCTTGTCGTTCAGGTCATACTTGCTGGAGGTGACCTTGCAGCATATGGCTCAATCAAACTCCCAGCCATGTACCCCCTGACCTTTGAGCAAAGCTGAGGTCCAAGCGGCCCCCTACTGAGCCGATAGTTGCTGGGCGGCCCGACGTTGATACCACGCAGGAGTTTCAAGTTCACCTGGCAGTGTCACTTTTGAAGCTCCGACTGCCAATTTACCTGAGAATCCGAATGACCCTCACAAAAGAAACACCAAAAGAATGGCTTCTGTGGCGTCAACGCCTTTCCATGATCATGATCTGAGAAGGCATCTAGTTACTGGAACCATCTCTGACGGCCATGAGCCGTATACCCTACCTTAGCTGATCCTTTTTTTTTTACAACGAGGTCACAGGCTTCGCCATTTAGCTCTGGCGGACACGGCTGGACTCGGCCTCATACTCTTGTCCCTGACTGATCCCCCGGAAGTAGATGCGCTCCTCCTGTGCAGCTGGAAGACGCGCAGCCACCAACTCGTGAGCTTCTTGAGTGTTGTTCGCACCCACCAACTCGGCCCCTCCAGAAGGGTGGCTGAAGTCTATGTAAACCTGCACCTGTCGCTAGATTCAGGATACCTTTCGTTCATCGACTCTTGGACTCATGATGACGCATGAACACTTCGCACATCCTTCATGAACACTTCACATCCATGAACTAACTTCGGGTCATCCTCATCCTCAAACGGGTCGATGCTGTGAGGAGGGATGATGTCCCCGAACCAACCGCCGACCGTCCGACGGACGTCCTCCAATTCCACCTCTGGCTCGGTGACCTCCTTCAAAGGGATCGTCACATAGAGCCTGCAGGTGAGCAGGCTCCCCGGCGGAGGCCCTGATGAGTCAACAGGACGAGCCATGATTTCAGACAAAAAACAAAAGACCCTGGTTCTTTCAGTCAACCTGATCCACTCGAAGACACTCACTCATCCAAATGAGCCTCTAGACATCTCTAGACATCTCTAGACTCTAGATGCCGGTGTGCGGTGTGTGATTGAAAACGCCATCACGGAGAACCGGAGAACCGGCGCTCAGGTCGAAGCCCCGAGTCGTGAACGGCGAGCCTCTCGGGCTTTTGTCCCCACTGCACCGTCGGAGTCTTCGGCCTGGCAGAGGCCTGGGCTGTGAAACACGCGGGTTTCCCGCAGGTGGAGGCGGACGTACCACCCAGAAAGACCATGGCAGTGGTAGCACCGTAGCACGGTGAGTGGACAAACACAAGCCACCTGTGGAGATGAGAAACGCGATGAGACCTATGAAGACTTCTCGCGCAACACGTAGCACTGACAAGGACGATCAATTTTCCCTCTCCCTTGCGGATGTGCACCGGCCTCAAGTAGCACATGAAGCAGAATGCAAGACCTTCGGTGCAAATGTCCGTGGTGAGGCTCTTTACAAGACTCCCTGACTGCAATCTGATTGAACCTTAAGGTGATTAACGAATCTTCCAAGGGGTGACCTGGTGATGCCCTGCCTGAAAGCCATGCTTGCCAGGGCCCGCGTGGCCGACACGAGGGTTCGTGGCTATGGATTTTAAGAAATCGACAGTGGGTTCGTCGGCCAAAGGGGAAATCACCCTGAACTTGCAACGGCACAGCAAATTGGCTCTGTATGGGTGTCACCTGAGATTTTGTTGACGCAGTTCGTCTGCAAACTAGATGAGCTGGTCTGAGGGCTATATGAGTGGTGCATCTTGATGTACAACGCTCCGGCGGTCGGCGAGTTTGAAGTTGGTTGGGATGGTGCATCACATACTTCCAATTGCACTTGGTTTGCCACTAGTTGGACGAATTTGCCGATTCTGAGTCAGGACTGGTCTTGAGACTTGCCACCGGTCTCTGATGGAAGCATTTCTTTCATTTGTTTAGTCCCCTAAAGCTTCTATCGCAAGGCTTTTGTACCGCTGATTCCCGTCACATCTACGTGCCTGCTTGACAGGGCTAAAAAATACAACAGCCATCTGCGTGCATCTTCGGCTCCGTGTCATGATTGTATCGAATGCAGTGGTTATATACAAATAACTGCGCCCACACTGGAGACAAAAACATGAACGCACAAAACAATCGCACAACAAGGGCGACACAGGCTGTCATGCGGTTATTGCACCAGAAAAGGCACGAAGCTCCAACCTTACAAGAATGCCCCTCGCAACATGCATATATTGTGTCCATTAAGTGGCTTCAAACGGAGCAAATCAAAAACTTTTGTTAACATTTGCAAACAAAATCACAACTCATCTCAAAAAATCAAACAAACCCACATATTATTCAACACGGAGGTCCTTCACTTTCCCTCCACTGAACTGAACATGCACGCGATGCGCATTCCCGACGTGGGGGAGCCCTCGCGTGTGGGGGCGCCCTGTTGGGACGAGTCCCGCTTGGGACCTCTTCTCCATGACTGGCAACTGGTGATCTTGAGCTCACATAACATACCAAGATACAGATATGCATTTAAACCTGGCTTGAAAAGGATACCCTTGGAAAAAATGCATCATTGGTTCTGGGGATCCACCAAAACAGTCCCACAGCTGCTGGCAACAGCTGAATTCACAGAGTAAAAAACATCCCACAGCTCTTGTCCAAATATGTTCACCTGCAACATCCGCCAACGAGTTCCCAGCCACATCCGTCTTGGCAGTAACAACGCCAAAGGCTTGAGAAACGAATCAACAACTTTGCACTCTCCAAAAATACCTGGACAGTCCCTAGGGGCGATGGGGTGGCGTCCGAATCTCCTTCTTCCGAAATCGGACAACGGGGGCCACCACTTCACGGAGAGCACTGAAAAGACTAGGAGCAAGAATGCTATACAGTATGCTAGTAACAAGGTGGGCATCGCTACGAAGGGAAAAAAGAAGCTACATTACTAGTAGCTCCTGGCATCGCTACGAACGGAGCAACACCACATCATCCTTGGAGAAGAGGCCACATCACCACATCCACACCACGTCCACAAAATCTGTTCAAGTTGGAAAGCTCAGATGTCTTCAGAAATCCGACCACCAAAGGACCTGGTCTCTCAATCAAGCGAGACTTTAGTGGACCACCAGTGAGGCCTGCAAACTGTTACAATATGTTGCAATAAGAGTCGAGCTGGATTCGTTGCCAGGTGCAGTTCTTGGTGAGCCCTGAATGCTGCACATGTTGCAGCTCCTTGCCAAATTTAAGGGTTAATATGTTTATTATGAAACATTAGGGGCAACAAACATATCGCCAACGAGTGAATTCTTGGACGCCTCTAAGCAATGCAAGTGAGATAGACCCCCAAAGGCCAGTGATGAATAGTTGAGCACAAACAACCACATTGCACCATAAACGAACAGCTATACCTGGTGCCAAGTTGAAAAGGCACTAGTAGTATCTGGACGGGTTCTATTCCAAGTTATGGTTGTGCGATCCTCTCCACTTACTAAGTTATCTAATGCCTGAATGAACTATAGCGAACCTACTCCCAAACTAAAAGGGGACTTCTATCTTTTTGAAATAGCTGCACATCTGTGGACATTTTTGCCCTTTGTGGCATCCTATATGGCATCTCAGGGCTTTCCAACTTCTTGCCAACCGGCGGAGAAAAGTGGCTCTGCGTGGCCTTTTCCTGGCACCGCGATTGGCCGAGAGAAAGTCACACACTCTCTTGTGGCATTGACACAATATTTTTGCATCTGCGTGGAGTGCATGTTGCACTAATCCCCTACCTCAAGAACAATCCTTCAAAACTGGACAACTAGATTGATTTCAATTAAATATAAATATAGGTGTAAATACTATATTAAGAATATGTACATGCATGTATATAATTTGTATATTATATATTAGTTATCAATATAACATATTTATAGCAAGTATAGATATCTATCTCACACCCCACATCTTGAGCAACATTAACGACACCCTATCAATGAAATGCACCACACCACCCCATCTGGCCTCAAAAAACGCCTGAGAACGTCACCAAGTTGTCACACACGCTCTTCCGAAGGCCTCCAGCATGCGCCCAGCCAGCGCCGTTTTTCGGCCACCCGCGCTCTGACCCGGTAACACTTCTTAACATGTCTGAACCTGCAATTGTTTGCCAAAACATCTAAAATATCATCACAAGTCACAAGTTTTGGAAAGGCCTTTGCCAAACCATGATCGTCCAACGTTCCAGGGCAAGGGAACCTGCTCCAATAAATTCCTGACCTAACCGAACTGCTTCGCATTGAGAACTTTGGGTCCAACGTTTCAAGATCCGCTCTGCCGTCACCTCGTTGCCAGGCGATCTCTGCGTCGGACTCTTTAGGCATCGATGCCTGGGAGGGGGGCGGTGAGACATCGGCAGAATTGGACCATTTCAAACAAATATATTATACTATAGTGTATCGACTTCCTGGTTTGCTCATCACCTTCTATCTGCTATTTGAACAAAAACACGTCTCGACTTCAACAACTGCCAGTACATGTTCCGGCAGAATGACGCCTGGTGGTCCTACAAATCAATGATTTTCGATGTCTTTTCGAGGGTCCACCATGGTGCACACCACCAGGCCTGTGCTTTCCGGCAGTCCCACGTGGCGCACGTAAGCACACCCCTTTCGGACGGCGGAAGCGACACACCTTGAGATCGATGTAGCCCGAGCGCCAGCGTTGCACCACGAGACGTCCGTGGGTGGGTTCCTCGTGGCCGTAGCGATGAGGGGGGCGCGCTGCGGCCGACCGACCAGCGAACCACGAAGCACCACGAAGCTGCAGGAGCGAACCGAGGACATCGTTTTTCTGAATTCTTCGTTGTTGGAGGACGCGCCAGTTCAGTTCAGGTGCGCAACGTTTCATTTAGATACTTCTTGATCAACTCCACCGACATTAGAGTCACTAGAACCTCAAAGAATGTGATTGAATCAGTACCAGTACGGAACTTTCAGCAACTCTTCAGGCACTCTGTGGTTTTCACAGCTCTTCCCCCACTGAGCTTTTCCAATCCAGGACTAGCAAGATACCCATCTCGCACTATGTTCTCCCAAGGCCACATCAATCAAACAATACGATCCGGAGAAGTTCCAGAACTATCCAAAAACGCTGCCGTCCATACTCGGGGTGCAGAGGGATGGGAAATCCACCTCCAATGTTCGCCTATCAACCCCCCGAAATCCTTATGAACCAAAACCTCCCCAAACAAGCAGTGCTTACATCACGAAAACTGCTGCGTCCTCATAGCGGAGCACGCGGATGTGGCCCAGTGTCTCCAACTTGACCTGGAAACTAAGGCGACCGATACGTATCGATCCGTGCGTACGTGACGTGATTCCAGGTCCAATGGCGGTCCAAATGGCGGTCCAATGGTCAATACTCAAAGAAACGATCTCCAAACAAACTAGGGGAGAGAATTTTGGTCCATCCAGTTGGACGTGGGGCCCAGTCGAACCCATCAACGAACCTCCCAAAAGTCTATAGGCCTATTGAATGAGCGAGTCAATCTGCAAAAACCCAATGCAAGTGTTCAACTGAAGCACCGAAATTCACCACGAAATGCAGATCCCAAATGACCAGACTCCAGAACCACCGCTGATTACAGCCCGACCGGTCCTGCCTTGCGCCGCGCCTCCCGGCCCTCAGCCGCCAGGGCACGTACCTGAGGACGTGTAGGCGCCATGAATGGACATGGACATCCGTGGGTGTGGTGAACGAACAGTTCCCCCTATCTTCCACCTACTGGTGGGAGTGCTTCACGGAACTCTCTGTCCATCTCTGTCCCCCATCTTCCCACCTGTGGTGGATCGAAGCTGTCTCCGTTGGCACGCTGTTCTGGTGGCACCTCGGTGGTCCCAAACACGTTGGCCCCTATGGCCCCTACATGTCCAGCTGGAGGAGTGTGTCCTCATGCAGACCTGTGACGACCTGTGCAGCATTTTGGGGGGCTTCTGGATCACTCCAAGCTGATCTTTTGCGTACATCGCTTCAGTGATTCAGGTGCCTGGCAAAGCTTCTCCGAGCTGGAGGGGTCGACTCGATCGGGTTTTGGAAGGAGTCTCTAGCCAAGAGGCTAGCTCCTTGAAGCGCGACTGTGCATTGGGACCACCTGAAAGAAAGCAAATGCGCCAAGGCTAATGATGCCAGAAATGCATTGAGAGAAATACAGCTCTACTTAGATCACCTACTTATGAAGCAGAAGAGCAGAAAAGGTATATGTGAAAGGCCTTGCTAACATTTCCAGGACATTCAATTCTATGTGGATCCTGCAGTGTGCTTTTGAGGGTTTGACAGTGCTCAGCGCCTGCTGTTTGGTGCCCAAAATCACTTGCCCTGCAGTGGTCCCTTCTTGGTTGCCCATGAAACCACCGGCCTCGTGTCCGAGGCAGGTTGCGATGATAGCCATATCTCTTCAACTCCTTGGCGCGAAAAAACGATCAGAAAAACCAGAGTTACCAGGGAGAGTCTCAACTCGTGTGGGGAACATAAACATCCATGAGCCCAAGCCCTGCTTGGCGGGTCAATGACAAGATCATATGTTGATGCCCTGTGTCATCTCACGTCAATGGCCGATCAAGCCAATGCCATTCCACCCGCCAGGCTTTACGTTTGTGTTTGCACTGCCTTGGGCAAGTGCCTCTTCAACCCATCAAGAAGCATCATAGAACAGACATCTACAGGCCTGTTGACGACAAAACTAATTTAGAAAGCATCAAAATGAAAGGGTCCGGGAGGGCCTCACCTCGTGTGATGCCAAGGTGCCAGCTCCTCTGCGCTGCGAGCCTGACGGTCCCAGCGTTGGGCCGTCAAGGGATGCATGGCCTTGAGGACGGAGGACGGGATATACCGAGCAACAGGTGGTGGGAACATGTTGGAGAACAACAGCTGTCTTTTTTGGTGAGCCGAGCTCAAACTTCAAGTGAAAACAATTATCTTGAGGTCTTTTTAGCTCCTGTGCGATGGCTCTCCCCCTTTTGGTGCTCTTCCTCATGTACCGTGATGATACCGTGATGACATTATGCTTTCGCGCCTGAGCGCAAGTCTTCACTTGCTCCTGGTTCCCTCGCTGGGGCTCGTCCTGGACCAAACAGCCCGAGGCAGAACAAGGGCAGGTGTTGAGCGTCGGGTGTAGGAGCAGCAACCGGTCGGCTCCTTTCAACACGGGTGTTCAACGAACAGGCCAGCTGCTCCCTTTCGGCAGCTGTTCCTAAAAATGCGTGGTCTGTGGGGTTGATTGTAGTCAGTTTAACTGTCAGTGTCGTCTCTTTCTCTCTCTGCAAAGTCAGATTGTGACACAGCCATGCCACAAAATAACATTCTGACACATGAGACCTTGAGTGCCGTCATCGTATTTTCACCAGAAAACCGTTTAAACTCCTGTTACCTCCGCTCTGCTCGCATCCGCACCGCACCGCTCTCTCCGCCCCCCCTGCAATGCCTTGAGACAAAAGCGCCAGCGCTGGACGCCACCCACCCACTCAGAGGGCACGCGTTTGCCGCGATGCATGGGCGAACCTCCGGTTTTCTCATCGAGTTGGCCGGTGGCCGGAGTGGTCTGGGCTAGCCGCGGTGGCGTTTCTCAAGCTGGGCAGGGCCAAAATAAATTCACAGATGTTAAAGGAAGGAGAAACAACAATCTTGCTTGATCTTTTCTATGCTTTGATGCATTTGCTGGGATGTGACATGATGACTTTGAGGGGTCCCTGTATGTCCCTGCCGTTGGTCCACGCTACGACTGTCCCAAACAGGCCAGTGATCGTCACGTTTCTGCAGTGACTGAGGATTCCGACTGGTTGGATGGCAAAGCTCGGACAAGGACCGCGAAATCTGCGGCAACTGCGCAGCTGCGCACGGCGCCTTCAAACGTCCGGTGAAGCGTGCCTCGCGAGTGGCGGTGATGGGGTCCGGCCGCGGCCGACGTCCGGTTGACCCACGAAGCGTGTCGCCCACTGATTGTGGCCGTGAACCGTGTGCAAAGGACAACATCTGAAAGTATGGGAAGATGATGACCTTGAAGAAGAGGTAAACCTGGAGCTTTCTCAAGGGTTCTGTGAGGGTCCAAGAAACTGAACATGAAAGGACACGATCATTTGCACCGTATATCCACCGCCAAGCGTTGGAAAAGCATCATCCATCTATGGGAAGCAGGTCCGGCAACCAAATGAAAGACAACTTGCACAGGAAATCGCCGCTTTTCCGAACAAGTCCTAGCAGGAAATAGCGACTTCTGACATAGAGTCCAAAATATCAGGTCTTGTCATGGAGTATGCGAGGGTTGGTGAACAATCTGGGCTGAAAAAAGCTCTGCCCAGCGATGCCTCTGGAATCTCCAGTTGCATCGGCATTGAGGGTCCAAAATCAGCACCAAGTGCTTCAAAGGTCTTCCAAACAAATCCAAAAGGCTATTTACGCATCTCGGCCAAGATCAATGATGGGTGTTGCGTTTGGGCAAGGGGTAAAAATCGTTGCGACATTTCATCTGATGGCTGATGGCATGATTTGGTGAAGCAAATCCATGCGTTGAGGAGTTGAGGAAGAGTATTTGTGGCATTTTGTGGTGGCTTGGGAAACATACAAGATCATAAAAACATCATGCAAGTATCTTACTTCTGCACTGAGCACGATCTATACATTGATGGTTTTTGTTGGCGACTCAACTTCATCTCTTCCAGCAGCCCTTCGGGCGAGCTGTCTGAGCCACGGAAGCGAGCCGGAGCCGTTGTGAAGAATGTCCCAACGACTGGATACGCCAACAACACGCGGTAAACCACACATCTGGCGAACATGGGAGAAACACTCAAATATACTTGAAACAAAGGTGTATCCAAAATGTGTATACGGATTTGTTCTAAGAAACCACTCAACCGACCTTGGACCCCGATTTCGATTCGCTGTTTAAGTTCTTGGACCCTTGGAAGTACCGAGAACCCAAAGGCTGACTCTTGGAGAAAGTGTGGAGATTGGACCTTCAAGGCTTCACCGTTGACCCGTAGCACCGTCGACCGTGTGAAGGAAGAGCATGAAAGAATGAATGAACATGGTCCCATTAAGAACGATATATTGGGCTACGTTCCACTATCAACAGCAGTGGCCAGGGCCCAAACCACACGATTGATCCAAAACGAATCGCTGAATTTTGAGACAATCTGGCAGAAAATGATCACCCAACACGCCAACTGACTATTGCTTAGTAGGGAATGAGGGAATGAGCCCCAATAGAGATTCTATTGGATCCATTCCCTCATTCCCTGCTAAGCACCAGTCAGCCAAGAAACACCGTGGAAACAAAACCCGCTGCTCCTTTTCTGCACTGTCAAGAGCGCAGCTCCCCTGTGCTCGCACGCTTCACAGTGAAGCCCCAAACGAAGCCACCTGGCTGGGTCATCAAGGTCTCCACTCGCTGTGGCGTTGCGGGGGGCAACGGGGGAGGGGAGTAGACTAGAGATAACTTGAGGCAACTGGCTTGACAGCTTGATGTTACATGTAGTCGGCCTGATTTCCTGTGAAGTGTCTGCCCGCAAAAATTGTTGAACAAGCTGAAGTATCAAGTAGCAGCAGGGCCGGCTGAACCTCCTTGCATGTTGAAGCATGAGATCATGGCCGGCTCACTTGGAACGGCTACGGCTTGATGTCATCACAATGGCACCAGGCCTCTCAGGCTTCAACCTGACCGTGTGGCACACAAGATTATTTGATTGAGAGAGGTGTTTGACTCCACCCGTTTCACCTTTGTCCACTTGTTTCTAAGGTATGTCTCTAATTCATTCTATTTCTGCTTCTGAAAGGTCTTAGATATTTGTGACAATCTGTTGGCATTGCGGTCTTTGAGAGCGGCGGTCACCGAGAGTGTGTTTTGAAAGGTATTTCGGTATTTTTTGTATCGATATATAACGGCCCTTCTTCTGTTTATCCGACTTGCAGCAAGTTAAGGTTGCAACCACTTCACATTCATCGGGCAATTCCATCTGAACAAAACAACGCAGCGCTGTCCACTTCCCAACCATATCTCAAAAGTTGACTCGCCCGCCAATCGGTGTGAATGTGTGAGAAACTTGCGCTGGATTTCACGTGGGGCATTCTTCCACCAGCCGAATCGCCAAAGGCATGATCAAAATCCCTCCAGGCGCCTCATGACTATCTACATCCATCACATCTGGATTGGCCTGCCGTGCAGAAGGTTGTGCAAACATGTTCTGCTCAACACACCTTTGCCGTTGAACAAATTGTGTGCGTCTGTGAACGTTTAGCTCAGCTCACTCTGCCTGGCTCATGCACGTGGAGAAGCGTTGAGCCGGAAGTTTTCAGCTTGTTCTCTGAAGATTTAGGCTCCAACTGTAGGGGTGCATCCCGCTCCGACCCGCAATTCTCAAACATGTGCAGTTGGGGGGCCATGCTTGGGGGGGGAACATGTTGGTACAGAACGAGTTCGTTTGGCTTTGGAATCCAACGAACTCGGGTAGTTTCACCCGCCTCGTCTTCTTCACGTTCGCAGGTCGGCGCCTGCACGTCGCACCGCCCATGGTGGTGGCAACCATGAAGGATGTCTCATGGTCCGGTTGTCTGAGTTCTGAGTCCTCGACACTCATCTCAACATTCTCAACTTCCATGGCCTCGACCTGGCAAATGGCAGCATCCGTAAGTTGATAAACCGCTTGAAGAAGCTGAAGCATCACAACTGGGGATCAAGCATGAACGCTGAAACTGGATAAAGAAGGTACGGAAGGTTGTGGCATCCACGCTTGACTGACAAGATTTAGGTTCCACCAGGTTGCCAGGATGACCAGGTCCAATCTGAAACAACTAAACTTAATCGGTGCCTCAGGTGTATCCTCAGCCGGCGCCTCCTGCCAAGCGGTGGTGTTTGATGCTTCCGTAGGTGCTTCATGAGTCTTTAGCGGTTGAGGATGCCAAAAAGGACCCGCTGGTATGATTTATATATATAAAGAGATCACATAAGATCTTACAATAAGTAAAAACACCATTCTTGGGGATTTGCGGGAGTGACATGACCAACCATTCAGCTTCCCATTATCCTCGGGGCAAAGGCTAGGAACTGAACATGTAAGTGTCTACATAGCCAGCCAGCCATTTTGTGGCTGGTTGTTGTTGATGATGCCGAATTCAGTCAAGGTTAGTTCCGCTGAGATGTACTCTTTAGTCGCTCTTGCTGGACAAGCAACCCTAACTGGTAGCAGGACCCGAGCTTCCCAAAGTCAATTTTGCGAGTTCGGACCTCTGTTTCAGGCTCAGCTCTGGCCTCAGCCACAGGCTGTGTCTTCGCCGCTTCGCAGGGGCAAGTGACGAAAGGATGGTTGTCAAAGGAAGGTTGAACAAAAGCTGATTGATTCACTGATTGGATCGTGCTCATGTTTGCACATGCCTGTTGACCTTCTAGGAAGCAAGGATACATGCAGGCGGTGAGTTGTGTGCTCCAATCATATTGCCCCAGTTCATCCACACCCCCTCGTGGCAATTGATGATGGAAGGATATGGCAGGAGATGGCAGGTGATAGAAGATGCTGTGAGGCCATTCTGACTTGCCTCAGAAGTTTCCACTGGCTCTGCAATTTCAACCTGGCGCAGGCTGGTTCCATCTCGGGCTGAGTGTTGTGCATATCAGTGCGACCTAGTGCTGAGCAACATGTGCCTATGAAAATGATCGGACTGGCCTCAGCTGATACGTTGGCAGATGGCGCCTCGGCCTGCCACGGGGACGTAGGTCGCTTCATGCATCCTAACAATTTGTGGCAACATTGATGTACATGATGCATGTAATGCAGCTAGCTATCTTATGCACTAGTAGCATCCAGTAGCGTTGCCAACCGACTCACAGTGACATGACCAACCATTCAGCTTCCCCTTATCCTCGAGGCAAAGGCTAGGAACTGAACATGTAAGTGTCTACATAGCCAGCCAGCCATTTTTTGGCTGGTTGTTGTTGATAATGCCGAACTTAGTCAAGGTTAGTTCCGCTGAGATGTACTCTTTAGTCGCTCTTGCTGGACAAGCATCTGCAACCCTAACTGGTAGCAGGACCCGAGCTTCCCAAAGTCACTCGGACCTCTGTTTCAGGCTCAGCTCTGGCCTCAGCCACAGGCTGCGTCTTCGCCGCTTCGCAGGGCAAGTGACGAAAGGATGGTTGTCAAAGGAAGGTTGAACAAAAGCTGATTGATTCACTGACTGGATCGTGTTCATGTTTGCACATGCCTGTTGACCTTCTAGGAAGCAAGGATACTTGCAGGTGGTGAGTTGGGTGCTCCAGTCATTTCACCCCAGTTCATCCACACCCCCTCGTGTCAATTGATGATGGAAGGAGATGGCAGGTGATAGAAGATGCTGTGAGGCCATTCTGACTTGCCTCAGTAGTTTCCACTGGCTCTGCAATCTCAACCTGGCGCAGGCTGGTTCCATCTTGGGCTGAGTGTTGTGCATATCAGTGCGACCTAGTGCTGAGCAACATGTGCCTATGAACATGATCGGACTGGCCTCAGCTGATACGTTGGCAGATGGCGCCTCGGCCTGCCATGGGGACGTAGGTCGCTTCATGCATCCTAACAATTTTGTGGCAACATTGATGAACATGATGCGGGTAATGCAGTTAGACATCTTATGCACTAGTAGCATCCAGTAGCGTTGCCAACCGACTCACACGCACACCGCCTGCTGGGCTTCTCCACCTGGGGAAGGTAGGCTGCAGAACTGGTTGCCAGCTGTTGCAGTGATTAGCCACGGAGTTGTTTAAAAAAACACAGTGGATGGAAGCGACATGAAGTCATGTGATGTCCAAAATCGTCTCCTCACGGAGATCAGGGTGGCTGTGGCAACAACGACGGACGGCAAAAGTTGTTCTAAGAATCTATGACGGCATCTGCACCCAGCCGACAACGAATTTCACGATGTTTCACGATGTTTCAGGTGCGTGTCTTGCGCTGCTTCCTTGCATGCTGAGGCCAAATGTTCCATCAACTGCCGTGCATCTTCAATGCGAGATAAACATCACGTGCACATACCCATCTGTGCCTGGCGGACTGCGTACATGCGCCTGGAAACTGCGGATGGTTGGAGGTGGGTGGATGAACATGGATGAACCACACAATAGAAAAATGATGACAAAGCAATTAGCTTGATGTGGATTGCCCTGCAAACAGGTTCAGCCGAGTCCATGAACCTTTTGGCTCGTGTATTTGTTCTAAAAGGGCACTTCATGGACGAACAAGGCCCGGCCCCGCACTTGTAAGGATATCCACTGGATCTGAGTTGACGAACACACCGGAACACCCGAGCTCAGCCATGCCTGCCGCTGCTGCCAGAGCTGAACCTGGCAGAGGCGCCCGTGTCAAGAAAGCAGGCTGTCTGGAAAGGTTGGGAACATGTGGACTGTGGACTTTCCCAATTTCTCCCACCACATGTCCGAGTGTC